GAGGGAGGGAGATGAGGGAGGGAGAAACATCGATGTGAGAGAGACATCAATTGGTTACCTCCTGCACCGAAACCCAACTGGGGCAACGGAATGAACCTGCAACCCAGGTACATGGGCTTGACAGGAAATCAAACCCGAGATCCTTTGGTCTGAGGTCCAATGCTGTATCGCTGAGCCACACCAGCTAGGGCAAAGCCGCCTACTTTTTATTCATACTTATCGCACTTAAGCATAAAATTTATTTGAAATGTGTTTGAAGAAAAGCATTACTAAGAAACAAACTGTAAATAAGTCTAGTTCACTAGAAGAGTATCAGATATAAATAAGAAAACTCCCTTTCCTAATAGGGGTGGCATAAAATAAGCCTGAAAATAAATGTGACCAATTTAAAAACTATCTCTGACTTCAAATAAGATGGTGAGATCCATGGGGGAACAAAAACAAAAACAAAACTAAACTAGTCAAGGAACATTTTATTCTTCATGAATCATGGGAAAGATGTACAGCACATGTTTAAGAACATAAGTTTAGGAGTCCAAAAAACCTGAGTTTGAATGTTAACTCCTTGTGTTACAAAACTGAGATTTAATATATTATTAAATCTAAGTCTTAGTTTCCAAATGAATTAAGTGGGTATAATAGTTTCTTAGCCCCATAAAGCTATCAAGATGATAAAATGAAATAATGACTGGCAAAGAGGGCTCAATAATTGATAGTTATGATGGTCACTATAAATTGTAGTTGTGTAAGAAATTGGGTGATATTCTTAATATTACCTAATGTGTTTTACAAAATGCTTTCAGTTTTCAAATCAAACGGGAAATATTTTTTATTTTTCACCATATTTGAGTTCTTAGTTCCCAATAACTAGTTGTAACTTTTTACTAAAATTAGGATTGTTAATTTTAGACTGAAAGAATAAGGCTGAGAGAATAGAGGCTATTAACCCTACTCCACCTTAACAAATGTTCTGAATTTCCAATCTAAGGAAGAGAAAAAAATTAAGAATGGCATCAGTACTGTTGTTCTCCAGTCCCAGTGATTTCTTCCCTTTTAAAACTAGAAACACTATCTGAGAGAAAATATTTTTAAAGTCTCCAATGGAATATAATCTTGCATCAAAACTAGAAAATTAGTTCAAATGGCTATTTTGGTGGCCAGGATAACATGAGCAACTTCTTTATTTTGTTTTACTGAATAAATGTCATTAACATACCTAACAGAGAATTAAAGGTTTATGGGCAAGAAATTTTAAATAGTTTTAAGATTTTATTCTTGTATTCCAAGAACGTATCAAGTGTTTTTGAAAACCTACTTTTAGTTCTCGGTACTCAAAAGGATATATATATAGAAGATACTAAAGCAGAGCCCCCCACTTCACCTCCAAAATAAAATAAACATTAAACCTGATTTCCCTTAATACTGAATTACTGCAAAATTTATGGATGAGGAATATAAGAGATTAAAGCAGATACTACTTGCACACTGGTTTGTTCACATACTGGCATATAAATCAACTTCCTTACTTGCTTCTTGTAAATTCTGTTCAACGGGCGTTCTGTGTTACTTTTAAGTACAAAGCTGACATGATAGTTCCTTACCTTTCCATTAGCTTCTCTTTATCCCAATTGAAGTGGCTAAGGAGTATTCTTGTGATAGTTGCTGGATTCTAAAGAAGGGGGAAAAAAAGTCATTTTAAGGTAATAGCACTTCAATGACATTTAGTGACTTTTTCGGTTGAATTTATAACACTCCACCCCAAATTTCCTTTCCTAAGATATTTATCCCCTTAAAAAATACAAATTTTTAATTATAAGATCAAGATTATTTAAAAATAGTAAGCCACACCAATAAGGCAGGTTTCTATAGGATTCTAAAGCAGAATTCAAAATAAGCCAAAAAGGAATTAAATGAAAAATTACTGTATTATATCAAGCACTAGTGAAAATTAACTTTTTTGCTATTAAAGAGTTAACATCTGCCACATCAGCACACTATTAATCAATAAAATTTCTAACACCTTATGTATCAAATAGTTCAAATGATTCCAAACCATTTTAAAACCAGAAAGTCCTTCAAAGACATTTAATGAAAAATGACCAAAAAATCTGTACTGTGTAATAATTTATAGAGTATAATCTTAGGTTGGTATTTCTTTCCAGAAGAAAAGGCTAATGCCATGAAATAAAAGTTTTACTGCCCTATCACGATGCTGTCACAAATTTTTCCATTTCCTATAAAATTAGTGAGCTTACTGTCTGGGTACAGAATTTTGACTTAAAATGCAATGAGGGCTAAAAGATGAGAAAAGTCTGACTGGCTCAAAGATACTGGAGCTAATTACAGTATCAGAGTCTACTTATTTGTATTTAATGTATAATTTTATTACATCATATAGCATTTCAAAGAAGGTCTCTGTGCATAAAACTTTAATTTCACCAGTTAGACTACAGTATTAGTTAGCTAAAAAGTAACCCTATATAAAAATCATGTCACAATACAGACAGACTCGTAGAGACGAGGTTGACAGCTATGAGAGGGGCAAGAGGGGAGAGGGGAGGAGAGGCAGGAGGGAGGGGAGAAGAGTGGGGAGGAGAGAGGGGGAGCAAAAAGGAGAAAGTACTCATGGAGACAGACAACAGGTGATTGAAAGGGGATGGGTGGAGGTGGAGGAGGGCATAGAGGGGATATTCGTGAGGGGGAAAAAATACAAAATAAAAAAAATAAAGGGGGGGAAAATCATGTCATGAAATAAATCTCTGTCCATTATTCTCAACAATACCATCCATCACAGGAAAATACACACATATTCATACCCCCAAAAAAGCCAAAGATGCAGCCATGGCTGCTCCCATACACCCACCACTCCAGGCACGTTATAATCCATCTAGTACTCCTTACTTCTAGGACCCAGACTTCCTCAAGAATCCTCCTTTAACACAGCACTACAGATAGACACCAGCAATCTACGAGAGTTATTTAATATGTGAAAAGAAACCTATTAACTGATCCTCAATTATAATGTGTTTATTTGTACAGAATATTTAGACATTGTCATGCACCCAGCTTTTTCTTAGAAATGTGATTCAACATTAAAAACAAAACAAAACTGAGTTTGGTAACAGGGTTTCACAATCTAAATATTCATTTAGATTTAGTAATATGTAAAATAAGGGCAATAATCCTATCAATTGGCAGAAGTCTAATAGTATTCACTAGAATCGTGTGACTAACTTTGTGGCACCCAATACACTATATTCTGTGCCACTAGACAGAGTGCCTGAAGGAAAATGTTTAGGAATTAAGTCTCAACTTACAAAGAAAAATGGGGGAGGAAGGCAAATGCCCTCTCTAACTTTATGCTGCTGGTGCCTTTTTGTTTGAGTTCCAGCATCAAAAATTGGTCCCACCCTAGCTGGTGTGGCTCAGTTGGTTGGAGTGTCATCCCATATGTAAACTGAAAGGTTCTGGGTTTGATTCCCTGTCAGGGCACATACCTAGGTTGTGGGTTCGATCCCGTCAGGGTGTGTCTGGGAGGCAATCGATTGATGTTTCTCTCTCTCAAATCAATGAACATGTTTTTGGGCGAGGATTGAAAAAAACTGGGCCCAGCCAGAGGTTCCCAAACCTATTACTGATCAAAAATTATTATGAAAAGTTCAATTAAAACATAGATTCCTAGGTTTTACCCCCATATATTTATTTATTAGGTTTGGGGTAGGGCCTCTCCCATCACGAAAGGGATTAAAAAAATCACATCAGTGGTCCTCCAGGGTGAAGAAAACATGATTTCTTTTCTCTTTTTAGCTCATCCTTTAAAAATTTGTTTGTTTAATAATGTACATTCTATATTGGAGGAACATGCTCAGAAGTTTTCCCAACAGGATGCTACTGAAAAAAATTTGTCTAAACCACAGTGGCATGATAATGCCAAAATATATTCTGTCAGAGCTCTGAGATATGGAACAGGGGATATTTCACATTACTAATGAAATATAATTGGGTTACTATTTCTGTACAGATGGTTTAAGTCATTTATGTGCATTGCATATAAGGAAAGGTGATAGGAGAATAATATTTACTGTGCATATACTGTATGCCAGGCCCTGTACAAGGTACTTTATACATCTCGTTTAATTCTCAAAGCACTCAACAAAGTCTATATACTTACCTCCCATTTTTAAATATGAGAAAACTATGGCTAGGCTTCAAAAGGTTACAAAAATTACCCAATACCATGCAATTAAGTGGAACAGCTGTGAATTCTTGCCTAGGGCAATCTGGATGTAATATTCCCTCAATTATTCCATTAGTAGAACCTAAAGGAATATTAAATATCTCATATAACTACTACTCATATGTCTAAATATCCTTTACATCCTTCACCAAAGGGTAATTCAGGGCAGAACGAGAAGAGAGCGGCAGAATGCAAAGAGGCACAAGGGAGTTTCTGAGGGACTGAAAGTGTTCTACTTTTCTTGTTGTTGTTAATCCTCACTTGAGGATATTTTTTTCCACTGATTTTTTTAGAGAGTGGAAGGAAGGGAAGGGGGGGGGAGAGAGAGA